TAAGAGACTTTCTTGGATTACTTTCCAGTAAACATTTTTTTTTAACCCAAAGGGGTACAAGTAGTGACACTCTGTACTTAAGTAGAAGTAAAGGTACATATTTCCTTCAGATACATGTTTAGCCCTCTGTAATATTGTCCATTACAAAAAAATATAAAGCAATAAGAATTAAACTGAATGTAAATAATGTAGGGGCGGCCCGGTGGTCCAGTGGTTAGCGCGGTCGACCTCACAGTGCAGAGGTTGTGTGTTCGATCCCAGCTCCGGCCTTCCTGTGTGGAGTTGGCATGTTCTCCCCGGGCCTGCGTGGGTTTTCTCCGGGTATTCTGGTTTCCTCCCACATTCCAAAAACATGCATGGCAGGTTAATGGAACACTCTAAATTGTCCCGAGGTGTTCGTCTCTGTGCGCCCTGCGATTGGCTGGCAACCAGTTCAGGGTTACTCACTGCCTGAAGACAGCTGGGATAGGGTCCAGCACACATGACCCTTGTGAGGATAAAGTGGTTCGAAAATGGATGGCTGGATGGATGGATGGTAAATAATGTAACAGTTTGTGCATCATGATTATGCAGCAATTCACTTCACTCTGCTGCTTCTTCTAGCCACTGGGAGGCAGTGTAGTCCAATCATGCAAACCTAAATGAAGAATAGTACTTTACGGATCCTGTGACTCAGAGATGATGTAACATTACTTTTTTTCATAGAGGATAAAGAATATATGCGTGTGAGGATCAATATATTATCTGTCTGCATGTGATGCTCCAGCGTTTGTGCTCAAATATCCATCGCTTGTTACCCGTTACCATGTTAATGGCGTAGCCTTTCCTAAGGCCAAATGTTATTTTCTCTGAACAATGTATAAGGGTTAATTCTCTTTGCTTAATTTGACAGTGAACTTCAAATGAGATTGGCATTAATCAGCTTGAAGCCTCTTTTGTGTTGTGCGTTGTATTAAAAAAATATATATACTGTACATCGGTGAAAATCAGCGACAAAAATTGCCCGATTTTTGCCCATTTTAAAAGAGCTAAAATTGGCTGGTGAAATCAGCCGCCAATAATTGGTCGGACCCGAATCTCAAGGAAAGTACAGACCGAGAAATTGATTTCAGTACTTTTGGCACCGTTTACACGTTCAACCATGCTTTTAATATTTTTTTACTCTCCAAACTGAAATACAATTTCCAACTTTGTAAGAGTTTAATTTCACAATGTTTATTCCTGCGGTTGTAGTTTGCACTGGTGTACAATCTGAGAGATGTTTAAAATATAGTTATTTATATTTAATGTACAAAACCTCTCTGGCAGCATCAAATAAAAATCGAGCGTTTTCATCAGAATGAACAGGAGGACCCAATGACGTGTTCGACTGAATTAGCTTTCTCGTGATGAGTAACTGATGGCAGACAAATGCTTCTGACATCAGGCTCTCACTGCCTGTCAGACGCCAATGAGCCCACTTATCTGTCAATTAGCGTACCCAGCACCCCCCACCCACTCGAGTCTTCCGAGTGGGCTGTGTTCAGGTGTAAGGTGAGAAGCATTCGGCGGGAGATCAGAGCGTGCGGCCTGTCTGTCGGCTTCTTTTTGGGGTCGGGGGGGGGGGGGGGGGCCGGCGAAGACACATTATTTTTCCCCTCTTGGGCCCTTGCATGAATTTAAAGCTGCACAGGCGACCACTTTGCAACTCAGTGTCAGGGGTCAGGCGGCATCGAGCACAGAGGAGCAAGAAGAAAATTGCAAGATCAAAAAAAAGAGGGATGACGCATCCCGGCGCGTCGACACCGTTTTCAGTCGAGGATATTTTGAAGCAGCAGCGTGGCTATGAAAATGAAGTTTTGGAGTCTGAGCAACTTGCTCCAGTGCGTGACCGCGACATGCAAAAAAAACATTTCGCACACCAAGCAGAGGCGGACAACGAGATGAAGAAAGTTGGTAAGATAACGACGAGTTGCACCTCTCTAGCTGACCTTGATCGATGGAACACAACTTGCCGTAGTCCTTTAAACTTTAGAAATCATTTTTAGTCGTTCTATACAATGATGGAAATATGACCGAATGTGTTCAAAATACATAGAAGGGACATTTCGCGTACATAAATAGATATAGAGCATGTCAATAGTGGTTTCGATTGTCAATGAATGCACATGGTTACACATCGTTATCAAAATGTAAAACAAAACAAAACTATTATGATCCAGTCTTAAAACGTAACATTGTCAGCTTGAGCAGAATTTGTGACATGGCTTTTAATTAGTTATTCTTGTACAAGTTGATGAATTCTATTGAACTGTGCCAATTTAGAGAGTCATAAGCCAATGCAGATATTCACACGTCACTGCTGACTATAGTTTTGTACATGAAGTTGGAATTGACACAATAAAACATGGAATTAAGACAAAACATTAGCTGGAACAGTAAAACATTTTTATAAGTCTGTGAGCTTTTGTAATAGCTTAAATGACACTTCCTGACTTCAATACAGTCTAAAATTCATGAATAACTTAAATGTATTTGCATTGCAGAGTCACCAGTCAGTTTCAACACTTATTTTACTGGAATCAATGTCAGATAAAATCAGTACATAGCAGAGTGTATTTTTACATTCATTTTATGCATCTTTTTTGCCCTGTGTAATTTATTGAAAGTATTTTTTTTTTTTTACGATTGTCTTGCATTATTTTAAAGAAACCAAAAAAAAAGTAAAACGCAATTTCTATACCGTATATATTTCTCTCTCTCTCTCTCGCTTTAATAGATATGTTAAGTAAAAGTTGTTCAATTTAAAAAGTGCGCTGCATCGCTAGCATTGTAATTGCCTAGCATTGCTGTGTTTCAACAGACACACGTATCGAGAGCAAGGGCGGCTCCGAAGGAGGCGCGGGCTCTCGCAGGAGGCCCCGCGTGCTCTTCTCCCGGGCTCAGGTGAGTGAGCTGGAGCGTCGCTTCCACCGGCAGCGCTACCTGTCGGCGGCAGAGAGGGAGCAGCTGGCCCTGGTCATCAAGCTCACGTCCACCCAGATCAAAATCTGGTTCCAGAACCGCAGGTACAAGTGCAAGCGGCAAAGTCAGGACAGGAGTCTGGAGCTGGTACCCAGGAGGGTGCCTGTGCCGGTCCTGGTCCAGGACGGGAGGCTGTGCGGGGCGACCTCTCTCCTCCCGCCTGGTTGGAATCCAACTTTTGGCCATTATAATGGCATGGTCGGCTACGGTAACAGTGGTGTGTGCGGTTGGAGTTATCACAGTGTGTCTGTTGATGTCAATAATACAGAGGGGGGCCTTCACGTGTGCACCGGACACTCTCAGAGGCTGCTGACAACGCGCTCAAAATAAACATTTCAAAGCAAATCCTTGCGTAAATCTGTAATATGTGACGGTTGTACAGAAGGAAAGAGCATTTGCACTGATTTCAGTGTCCGTTTTGTTTTGAAAATGTGAGAGACTGCTTTCAGAAACGACACCTCGATAAAACCCTTTTTGTATGTTATTGGGTTGTTCTTTTTTTGTAATTTAATGTTGTCGACAATAAAAGGAGAATTTTCTATTTCACTTTTCATTTGTGTTGTTATTTTAACACACTGCTAGTCAGGCAGGCAGTCAGTCAGTCATACATTGGTCAGATGCTAATAGACAGTCAAACATCTAAGTGCTTACTGACACAAACAGCTGTGGTAGTCAGTCAGTTAGTTAGTCATACATTGTTCAGATACATGCTAATAGTTACAGTGATTCGGTTAATAGCTTAGTGACACACTTAGTCAGTCAAACGTTGGTCAGATAAATGCTAACAGATGTTTAGTTAGCTAGTTAGTCATACGCTGGTCAGATGAATGCTAATAGACAGTCAAACAGCTAAGTGCTTACTTACACAAACAGTTGAGGTAGTTAGTCAGCTGGTTAGTCACACATTGCTCAGATATATGCTAATTTTAATGGCTTCTGTAAGAAATGAGTCCAGAGTCAAAGGAGGAAGTGACATTCGACCTGAAGCGAGGCGCTCTATCAAAAGGAGCTCATCATTGTCCCATTGACTAATCCATTGATAAGAGCTCAGCGTCCCGTCTCGTCCTCCGGCTTTGCTTGGTAAACAAACCTGCAGACTGAGAGGCTCTTTAACTGGGAAACGCTTTCCATTCAACTGTCACTCACTGATGGACACGCCACCAAGTTTCACTTCCATCCCAGAGCTTCTTTGCCACTGGACGGAACTTGTGCGAGCCCAACAAGAAATGGTGGATTTGGAACATGAGCAGAGAAGTGACATACACATGGAAATAGGTCTTATTCAGACGAGAGTGGAGAATGAGTTAAGCCGACCTGCTTGTGGGGAAAACCCCCTCAAGGTGGAGAGGAGGTGAAGCTCTTTTGATAAGGATGAACATGTAGACAGAGTGGAGTCCAGAGACACTTGAAGAGATCAGATAGGCCTATTAGGCACCCACCTCTTTATCTTCTCGTGCGTGCGTGTGTGTGTGTGTGTGAGACAGGGGAGTGAAGAGATACTTGATTACAACGCGGTGATTCACATTTCATGAGGGCCATCTCGTAGCGAGGATGACGTGAGTGCGCTCATCACATAAAGAGGGGGGCATGCGAGAGGTAAAAAGCAGATCACGTCATCTGTACACGCGGATGCTTTTTAATGGTGCACCTCTTTGACAATCTTGCCGTATCATTGAAGGCTGGCGAGACGCTGGAAAAATGGGATTTCTTCCGTCACCTCAACCGACATGACTCATCATCTTAATCTTTCCCAAGATGAATCTTTGCTTAAGAACAGTGTGGCACGACGATGTACATGCTGCAGTTTGGCTTTTGGTACGTTATCTGACTCTATCTCGAGTGCTCGCTAGTGTAAGACCCTCACATTATAATATAAAAAACACACGCACACGCACACACACACACACACACACACAATATGGTGCTTTATGTAATGTAAAATAGGTATCTACGATTCTCTACGATGCCACATATCCATCCATCTGTCCATTTTCCAATCTGCTTATCCTCACAAGGGTCGCGGGGGGTGCCGGAGCCTTTCCCAGCTGTCTTCGGGCAGTAGGCGGGGGACACCCTGAACCGGTTGCCAGCCAATTGCAGGGCACACAAAGATGAACAACCATCCGTGCTCACACTCACACCGAGGGACAATTTTGAGTGTTCAATCAACCTGCCATGCATGTTTTTGGAATGTGTAAGGAAACCGGAGTACCCGGAGAAAACCCACGCAGGCCCGGGGAGAACATGCAAACTCCACACAGGAAGGCCGGAGCTGGAATTGAACCCGTTACCTCTGCCCTCTGTTCATCAGATCGCCCAACATGGCGATAGCATAGTCTACCAAATTCACAGACGGGTAAACTAAACTCACCCTTGCATGAAAATCAAGATGCGCCAAGTTTTACACCGAGCATATGCTCGCTGCCTACAAAAACGGAGCCCGAAGTGTTACGTTGTCCCCAACTGCTACGTTTATTTTGCTCACGCCACAAATCCACATTGCGTGCCAAATGACAGCGAATTCCAACTCCACTCAAGTCAGTGGCGTGGTTAAGGAGACTAACGGCTGGCCCGGGTGCTGCGGAGCAAGCTGACACATGTAACGTTACGCCACGGCCTCGGACAAAGACGTCGGCAGGAAAACAACAGAAGATTAATGACGAAACAAGTCGGCGTGGCTCAAAGAAAACATTTTGTGCAAGATAAACAGCTTCCTGGTGTGAAAGGTCACGAGTCGAGCTATGTCGCTGCACATGTTCACGGCAGTTACAAATGTTGACAATGCTTGCACACTCGGCAGGGATTCTCAAAGTGTGGTACAGGCTCCCTCTAGTGGTAAGAAAAACAACCGCTGCCAAAGTGCAGTTCAGTTGTATTTCAATTTTAAATTTAATACATTTGCATTTAATCTTGAAGCAGTGTTGTTTTTTTAAACATGTACTAACCATTTTTATTGATCTTTTTTTGTGTGTGAAATACATTGTAATCATTTTTTTATTAAGAATGATTTACAGAGTGCTATTCATCCATCCATCTGATTTTTTTTTTCAATTTAAGAAAAATTCTATTTCTCAATGTCAAAAATTTGAGAACACTGGTAGAAGAGTAACTGTAAGGTACCTGAAATGAGAGAAATGCCTGTGCCTCTAAGTCAACACTTTCCCAGGCAGAAAGAAAGAGAGTCAAGGTGAAACCTATCACGGAAGCGATCTTAATACTATGTTGACCAGACAATCGCTAAAGCCTGGGAAGAACCTCTTTTCTGGTTCTAAGCGGATGCTTTTACAGTCATTCGCGCCTTGCTGTCCCGTTTTTTTGAACAGGGGGACAGGATGTGAGAGTGTGATTAGGATGTATGCACAACAAATATGGGGAGAAATTTTGGTTAATCCATATGAAAACACATGCTCTAATACAGTTATTAGTGACCTTGCAAAGCAAAGAAATAACCAGGTACTGGACATGTATGACACACACACAGTGATTTCGAAACATCTTAACCTATTTTTTATTTTATTTCATTTTTTTTAAATGGGAGCGACCCCACACATGATGAGGAAGGAATCGGCTTGTACTGTATGTCACCACTGACAAAAGATGCCTGTTGTAGTACCAAGACTGACCTGTGAGAGGCAGCGTGGTATCAAAGGACATCCAGTCAATGCAAAGAAGAAGAGAGAGTCGTTGTAGCTAATAGAAGTAACAGTCGTCGAAAGAAAAAGTAACACAAGAAGCTAGTCCCGATTTGCGTCCAGCAAACTGTACTAATCACTTGCCGAGCAAATCGGAGATGGGAAATCACTCTTAACATATCCAATAATAATCGCTCATGATAATGTTCATTTTAGCAAGTCTTATCAAAGTACAGGATATAACACGAAGCATGACATGAAAGGTTTTCCTGGCTAGTCCAAAATAGGTAAGATGAAATTGTAATAGGAAAAACAAATATATTTGCCTTAATGCAAGCAGGTGTCGCATTAACATGTTGATACAATTCATAGGATTGGCCAGAGGGCTCTGTCGTGGAAAAGCCATATCTATCCGACGCAAGCTGCCTCTAGTGGTATGCAAATGAATCACTGGCTCAGTACAGTTCAGTTGTGTTTAACTTAACCCTTCAAGCGCCAAAGCAGCAAAATTGCAAGAAGCATCACTTTCGAACAACAAAAATGGATTCTTGTCTTGAAAAAAAACCTCTGGCGCCTGGCGGTTCTGCTAGAAAAATCACTTTAAAAGGTGGCAAGTGTGTTCCGACTCCCATTTAACATGAGTTTGAATGTGATTGGTTCATTCTGAACAGACACATCCGAGTTAGGAAGAGGGTGTGCTCACTTGTGCAACCACGTCATTTCAGTTGTTTATTTTTCTTCCCCTTGCACTGATTTTTTTAAAAATTGATTTCTACGGGTTGGAGGTCACATAAACATTGGAGAGAGTTTTGAAAATATTGTCATTGGATTTCTTGTTTTTATTGATAGGACAAAAAGCTGTCATTTGAACAGGGGGGGTGTAGACTTTTTATTCACTGTTCACCTCCCTCTCTCTCCTTTTGAGTCAAGGTCTCTCAACCAGGTTGCGTCAAGCAGTGACAACACTAACCTTGAGATGGGCGCTCTGACTAATTCCATTTGATTTTTTTTTTTTTAAGTGATTGCTCTCAAATTTCAGATACAACCCCCTACCACTTCATTTGGCCTGTTGGTCACCCCGAAATGTCCCATTCCCAGAGGACACCGCGAGTAAATGTATCATTCTTGGGCCACCACCACAACCAAACAATGAACGCGTCCGTCCGTCCAGGAGCCGGTCAAAATGTGCTGAAGTCATTAGCGCGGCCCAGTGGATACGACCACCCACTCTGACCTGCGCTTCCCCCCCAGGACAGGTCATCCTACCTCCCGGAAGTCGCAGACGCTCAGCTTTGGGCTGCATAATATAGAAGAATTTCAGTGATGTGAAAATAGATAGTTTAATTTATGCAGTATTTAGCTCTTTATTTTTTCTTATATTTGAAAAGTGGTTTGTTTGGATATGTTCGGTCCAACACTTTATAGATTAAAAAAAAAAACATTCTGATCTTGTTACTCTCATCTTTTCAACTATTTAATTATTTTAAATATATTTTTAAAAGTATCTTTCAAAACATTTTAGTCTCAAATTTGACCTAATGCTTATTTTCTCATATTCATATTTGACTGCTGATATTTTTTCACTTCATTTGATATTTTACAGATTATTTTTCTTATTATAACATTATTTTTGTGACCAACACATTTTGAAAAATTAATAATTTAATGCATTTTGAAATGTTTGAAATTTTTAAAAAAGGGAAATTCTTTTTTTTACAGGTTATTTTAAAGAAATGTACTAATGTATGTTTTCTTATTCATTATTTTATACATTAAACATTTTTAAAAAATCTAAATAATAATAAAAATTATCCAGTCACTAAAACCTTTTTTTTCATTATTGTGCCAAACAACTGCAGCCAAAGTTACTACGTGAGCTTGAGTACACACCTCCTTGACAAACCCGCCCCCGCGCTTGT